TGTTTGCATACATTGCCTGCATGTATGTAAGTGCACCCATGTCGAGCAATGCCTGTGGAGGTATTGGATCCCCTGGAACTGGAGCTACGACGGACAGTTGTTAGCCACTATGTGGGTGCTGGGATTCGACCTGGGTCTTCTGTAAAAACAGCCAATGCTCTTAACCCTGAGCCATCTCTCCAGTCCCAGTCTTTTATTTTTTGTGTATGAGTGTATTGCCTGCATGTGTGTAAGTGCACCCATGTCATGCAATGCTCTCAAAGGTTGGATCCCCTGGAACTGGAGTCATGAACAGTTGTTAGCCACCATGTGGGTACTGGGAATTGAACTATCGACCCTGGGTCCTCTGCAAGACCAGTCAGTGTTCTTAACTGCTGAGCCATCTCTCCAGGCCCCCAAGTCTTTTTTTTTTTTAATGAACCAAATCTTTTATTCATTTCTTGCATTTGAAGTATTTATCAATGACATTCTTGGCCTAGAGTCTTTGCCACAGTCCTTAACCACTACACAACTGCTGCCAACCACTTTATGGGGTTTTCCCTCTCAATCAATTTTGCAGAGGCCTACCCATCCCCCTAGCTTGTTGTTGTCATCAGCCTTAATTAGGTTGATCTGTGCTCAGCACAAAGGACTTCCACCAACTTGATATACATAGGCTCATCACAATTGGATGCAAGCCCTCAAAGATGGGGTTGGCGCTTGTCTAAGGCTTTGGCGGCTCGGCGAATTCCACATGCTAGACCATCATGGATAAGGGTGGTCCTCAGCATCTTGTGTAAAGCAGTTTGCCATTTATCACACCTCTGGCAGCAATGTCTCAGCCATGGTGGTGGATTATGGGTGAAGCCAAATCTCGAAAGCACCTGAGCCTCTGCCTCCACGTGACTCCATGGCAGCAGGGAAAAAGAGCCCGGTCTTTGTACTGGGCTAGCCTTAGGTCTTTCTCTGGGGTCATTCAGCATTTGAACCTCCCGTCTCCCATCTGGGTCTATAATCCTGGCTTGCCAGATTTTCAGAGCAGCAGAGGCGAGATCAAGGTCTCACCAGTTCACATAGGATGCCATACAACTGCCCTGGTTTGGACTTCTCACCTCTCCCCACCCTCTACCAAACTGCAGGGGTCACTCTACTCAATCGCTCCAGAGAACACACTCATTTCCTGGACTGTGCCAGGAGTAAGAGAAGGGAGGGGACATAGGGCCTGAGTGGACTCTCTAGAAGTGGGGCCCAAGATGGGGATTCTGGCATGCTTGACTTACTGGGGGTATGGGGAAAACAGGGTAAGGCAGGTGAAGAAAGTTCAGCAAAAATGTGCGCTTAGTTGGGCATCGTGGTTCGTAACTGTAATCTCAATACTTGGGAGACTGAGACAGAAGGACTGCCATGAGTACAGGCTTAGCCTGGGCTACATGGTGAATGCCATGCCAACTTTGGCTACAGTGTGAGACCCTGTCTCAAAACTCCAAACCAAACTAAACCAAACCAAACCCAAACCAAGCAACAACAAAAGCATGATTTCAGCTGGAGACTGGCTCCCACCTGACTGCAGAGGTGCCTGGGGGCACATCAAGTTAGTCTTGCTTTGAGATCAGGTCTAGGATGGTATCATGGGGTGCTCAGCCTGTGTCCTCCTGAGAAGAAACTGAGAAACCACATCTACACCTACACAATTAGTTTCTGTGATTCCTGGATTGGTCCGATTTTCACATCAGACTAGTAGGTGGTGGCTTGGAGGTGACCCTACCCTGGTGTAAGAGTGTCACTCAATGGGACTGGAGAGATGGCTCAGCTGTTAAGAGCACTGACTGCTCTTGCAGTGGACCCAGGTTCGATTCCCAGCACCCACATGGCGGCTATGAACTATCCTTAACTCCAGTTCCAGGGGTATCCGAAGCCCTCTTCTGACCCCCGAGGCATTGCAGAACATGGGTGCACTCACATACATGCAGGCAATACACTCATAGAAAAAATACACATAAAATACACATTAAAAAAAAAAAAAGAGTGTCACTCAAATGAACCAGGCAATAGCCAAGCCACCAGGGAGGCTAGTGACTCAGAGCACATCATGAGCAGAAATTGTGAGGGCGACCTCTTTTGGCCAAAAGACAAACTGCAGTTGTATGTTCTTTCTTGTGCAGAGAAACAGACCATAGTTGTCTGCCAGGCAATCTACATATGCCTTAGATTTCAAATATCTTTGTTTTGCTTTATTTTTGAGACAGGGTTTCCTTATAGTTCCATCTTTCCAGGAACTTGACCAGGCTGGCCTCGATCTTACAAAGATTCAACTGCCCCTGCCTTCAGAATGCCGTGATTAAAGAAAGGCGTGTGCCACCATGCAATAGCATCGCCTCATGTGAGTGCTGAACATAGGTCACACATCAGACCTACTGAATCAGAACCATAATTGGAGGTTCCAGGTGATTTGTGACTTGTAGGCACGTTGGTGTGTGAAGCTGTCTTTCTGAGATGAAACGTGAAGTATTTTTTAAAATGTTACAAAGCACTTCTCTTTTTTTTCCTTCTTTTTTTTTTTTTTTTTTTTTTTTTTTTTTTTTTTTTTCTCTACTCTTCCCCCTGCACCCCAACACCACACTCCGCCTGCCTCTGCTTCTGCCTCCTGAGTGCTGTATTAAAGGCGTGTGCCACTCTTGGCTTGGCTCTTTTTCTTTCCTTTTAAGACCTGCGAGTGGAACCCAGAGCCTTACATGTGCTTGACAAGCGCTCTACCACTGCACAGCAATCCCAGCCATCAAGTACTTTCTTTACACTGGCTCACCTTTACCCTGTGAGTTCCACAAATAAGGTCGGTGACTCTTGTTCTTGTTTTAGACAAACAGAGACCTGGACAGGTAAAGACATTAACCAGCAGGCACCCACCACTTGGTGTAGGTTGACTGGGAAAGAATCCAAGGTCTGACGTTGGAGCCTGCATGGGGGTGGGGGGTTTGTGGGTTCCTGGGCTTGAGGTCAGAGGTCACAGGTTGGCTTGGTGTGCCCTCTGCTCCCTTGTTTACTCAGGCATGGTAGGAATGCTATCTGGCTCTACTGATAGGACCTGTGTAACCCCAGCTCTTATTTAGCCTTGGTTTCTTCAGAGTTGTGAAGACCAGACACGGACGATGCAACAGAGCATCAGCAAAGTTTGAGAGCTCAAGAGATGTTGCTGTTCACTCATTAGCTCAGTTGCTAAGCACCTGGTTCCTATGCGCCAGGCACTGGGCTGATGCCTGGTACATAAGAAATATACTGCCCTGCTGGCATGGATTTTACAGTCTAAGGGACATTGATCAGGTGTTTAAAGGTGGGGGGCATTAAAATGGGAATGTCTCTAGTACGAGGTATGAACAGATGAACCAGGCTGCCAGACATAGCTGTAAACTTTCCACCTTCGCACACAGGGAGAAAATGAAACTCACTCTCTAGAGCACTGCCGAGGCCCAAAGCTGTCCTTACCCTTTCAGCCTCTTTGAGATGCTTCCTCCTTGCAGGGTGAGACCCTCCCTGACCCTCATTTGACTATGTCTGAAGCAGATGGCAGTGTAGAGAGGCAAGCTGTGTAGACTAACCCTAAAGAGGCGGCACAGATGCATCCAGAATGCTCTAGTCTCATCTTGGTGGCTCTCCCACATCCAAGCAAGGCTCACCTATGCTAGCCACTTCTCAGTTCAAGCCATATTCCTCCCACCTCAGGGCCTCTGCACCTAAGTTCTCACTGCTAGGAAAGGTTTCTCTGCCTTTCTCCACTTAGCTTATTCCTACTCCTCATCCAGGGTCCAGCTCAAACATTGCCTCCTCCAGCAGGCCTTCTCTGACTCCCTAGACATGTTCTAAGGCCTCTGCTGTAATTTAGACTCAGAATGCACCCCCAAAGACCCACTGGCTAAAGCCTTGTTCGCCATCCTTTGTTGCTAAAAGTTAGACTTTAAAAAGTGAAGACAAGCTGGGCCTGGTGGTGCACGCCTGTAGTCCCAGCACTTGGGAGGCAGAGGCAGGTGGATCTCTATGAGTTCAAGGCCAGACTGGTCTACAAAGTGTTCCAGGCCACTGGGGCTGCAGGGAGACCCTGTTTCAAAAAGACAAAAAAAAAAAAAAAAATTGAGGCCAAGTGGAAGGAACTTTGGTCAATGAAGGCATGCTCCTGAAGATGCCTGGACCCTGGCCCTTTCCTGTCTTTTTTTTGAGACAAGGTTTCTCTATGCAGTCCAGGCTGGTGATCTTCCTGCCCTGGGCTTCTGAGTGCTAGGATTACAGATGTGTGCCACAACTTCCATGAAGCCTCCTTAGTCACATGCTTCTACCATGATGTACTATGCCATCTCAGGCTCAAGTGATCATGGACTAAAACCTCTGAAACTGAACAATAAATCATCCCTCTTTTTAAGTTGATGATCTCAGGTATTTTGCTTTAGTGACAGAAAGTGTACATTGCACATTTAAATACTCCATTTTCCCTTCTTCGGATTTACCGCAGCTTTCCAGTACTTGTGTGAGTGCTCAGCATCAGTCTGTCCAGCTCAACTGGGAGCAGACCTGGAGCCTGCTCTGCTGCTGTTTTCCTGCCATTGCTGAGCAGTGCCTGGTGCTGTACCCAAGTCAGGCAGGAATTACTCAACACATGCCTTTTAGAGACCCAGTGAAGTCTAAGGAACCTGACACTCAGTTTAAGATTTGAGGTCAGGGAGGAATGTGCAACACAGGGGCCAGTCTGAGAGCACAGAAGTACAGGAGATGGAGTGGACTGAGCACTAGAGTCAGAACAGACGAAGTAGGACCTGGGGAGAGGCTCCAGTCAGTGGGAAAAGACTAGGGGGAACAGAAGAAAAAGGTATCCAGAGCCTCCAGCAGGTTCTTGCTTGGTAAGGGAGCCTGGTGGTGCCATTGCTGGGGTAGGGGTCATAGATGGCCAAGTGGCATCTGTAATTCCTACTCCAAGCCCTCTTCCTCCTGTTGATGGTCCAGACTTTGTCCACAGCACAAGATGCAGGAGACTCAGCTCAGCAACACAAGCCCCCTTTATTAACCATCCTGATTGAGTAGAAAAGAACCAATGAGACCTGATAAGGAAGGTAGAGGAGAGGGCAGGAAGGTGGGTTCTGAGGTCAGCTGAAGCCAGGTTCTGGTCTCTTGTCCCTGTCTCTATGCAGTATCCCAGCCTTATGCTTGGCTACCCCTGAAGACAGCACTTTGAGGCTGTGCAGCCCTGCCCATTATGCTGCCCTGGCCTTGATGGAGGTTGGGGCTGTGTAAGAGCCTGAGAGCAACCAGCACAGTGGGACCAGGCACGGATGGGAAAGAAGAGCTCATCCAGTACGGATGCTGAGCAGAGGCCTCACTGGCCTCCACCCAGCCTCTGCCTCCTAGATTGGACTGACCTGAGTTGGAGGGCTGCTGGGCAGGGGTTCCTCTCACTTCTAGGATATAGGCATTTTAGGCAGGGGGGACCAAGAAAATGCTATGGAGGAACTCCAATTCTGTACCTGGGATTTACCAAAGTGAGCAGGGGCAGGTGAGGGACAAAGGTGGTCAAAAACAGGAATAGTATCCCGCCTCACTCTACCTGGGGAAACAATTCAGGTATGACCTCAATGGGATTGTCAGGTCACTGAAGCCACACTTGACAGATGTGGGACTGGACAAGCTGATGAGAGGGTTTGGTGCCATCCACTCTACCAGCAAATAACAAAAACATCCACCACAAATGGGAGAGACTAGAGCTAAAGAGAAAGAGATAGGGTAGTGGGGCAGGTAGGGTGTAGGGATGGAGGGAACAGTCAATATGGAAATAGGAAGGGAAACTTCCAGGGCCCTCAGTTTAACCTCTTTCTCGCTGAGTTCTCAGGCTAGGACAGGCTGGGAGGAGTGAAGCAATCATGTTGGAGTTTCACCTGGATCCTGGCCAGCCTGGCCTGCAGGAAGGTTCCAAAAGGTTCCCAGGTGCCCCATGACCCATCCATCCTTGAGCCTCTGAAAAGATGGGCCCACCTGAAATCTGAGAGAGACAAACAGACCCTTTGCCCATGGGGAAAGCTAACGGAGGAATGCTCACAGCACCGTGGCACAGCGGCCCCCAGCTCCAGAGCCAGGCTGGCACCATTTGTAAACATTAGACTTGATGATGTCTGGGGGTTCAGGAGAAGGATACCCAATCTGGACTATCAGGTTTGGAGAAAGTCAGAATGGGGTTCCTAAAGATTTGTGAGGCTACCAGACTCAGAGGGGGCCCATACTGGAATGGACATTTGTGTGATGTCAGCAGCTCCTTTGAAAGTTGCCAGGTTCTAGGGGAAGCCACCACTGGCTTCTGAGAGACATGGGTGGGCAGTGAGCCCGGAGGTACTGACCACAGTCCTGTCACGCTCTGGGGAGGATGCCAGCCCTGTGCACATGGTCTTTCTTGAGGGAAGTCAGAATAGGCTGTCTCTTCTCAGACTCACTGACCTTCTCCATCCATGAGTTCCAACAGCTTGAAATGAAGAGCTGGGAGAAGAAGAAGCTTGTCTGTGATGTGGGACCTTCCTGCCACCATCTTCGACAATGCCAGGGCTAGGGAGCAGGAAGGCAGCTGGGCTTGAGCTGTCTGCAGGTGTGGCCGATTCTGCCCCATAACTGTCCTTGGAAACAGGTGTCTAGGCATCATCCCAGTGTCTGGAATGGGATGTGGGACTTTGGGTGGTCCCATAGTTTGAGAGATGGCTCCTGGGCCCAATGGGCACATGTTGCCTGGGAGGCAGTGGTCATGCCAAGAGGTCCACAAAGATGGCATTGGCTGTGGTTTGGCCGAAGATGAAGGCTCCCAGCGTGACCAAGAGAACTCCATAACTGACTAGTGCCCACCAGCTGTAAGGCAGAGGATGATAGAATACTGATCAGTCATTTCATTCATGTCTCTGCAGACTCCTGACTACGTCAGTTAATACACACTATTTGTATAGACGAAGTACTTCTGACTTCCCAAGGACTTTTCCATACAATATGTGACTCTAGTCTATAGATAAGGAGACTGAGACCTAAAGGAACTAATGCTAAGAACACGAGCAGGGTAGAATGCAGGTCTCCTGATGGGAAGATGCTCAGGAAAAAGCAGGTGACAGGGAATAAAATACATTTCACTATAAAACAAACCACGTGTCAAAAACTGCCACTGGTGATCACCTCACAAGATCAAGGGCAAGTTCTTTTTTCTTTTAAAATTTTATAATGAAAAAGTTTTGTTTTAGTGTTTATAGACGAGGTCTTACTATATAACTTTGGCTGTCTTGTAATTCACTATTTTCCTGCCTCAGCCTCAAGTATTGGGATATAAATATTTTAAGTATTAATATATTATTATGGAATTAGTTTTTCTTTTTTTGTGGTGGTGGGATTTGAACTCAGGGCCTTGTGTATTATAGGCCAGCACTATACCACTGACTTACAGTCCCAGCCCTGGAATAATCTTTCTTAAAGCATGAAACCTGGCTGGGTATGTTGGCGCACGCCTTTAATCCCAGCACTTGGGAGGCAGAGGCAGGCGGATCTCTGTGAGTTCAAGGCCAGCCTGATCTACATAGTGAGTTCCAGGACAGCTGGGGCTATAGGGAGACCCTGTCTCAAAAAGA